TATATGAACATTTTTTACTTTTGCTTTTAATCGCTTTCTTTCTTATTAATTTTTTACTTAGGATTACTAATTTTTTACTTACAAATATAGGGAACACTCTTTAATTTTGCTTCTAACCGTTTTATTCTCTTTCTTATCCTTTTAGGATTACCTTCATTTCTCTCTTTCTGACCTCTTTTTTACCTATAACTTGTGCATGCTTTTTTTTTTTTTTTTATCTTTTTAAGATTTTCTCTCATTTCAACTTCTTTTTTTATTGATCTCTTACTTGTTTATCTAAGACAAATGTAAGGAACACTTTTTATTTTTACTTCGCTTTTTTCTCTTTTTTATCTTTTCAAAATTACACTCAAGTCAAAACTCGATACAAACACAAATGTTGAACCCAAAAGATATATTTATTAGTGGAGAAAGATTAATCATTTGTAAGTCTAAGATCAATCCATTTTCTTACGTGGAATTCTTGATAAAATCATAATATTTTTAATTTTAATCTTTATTTTTATAATACATCGATAAAAAAATATTTCAAACTTTATTTAAGTATAATTTTTGTTTTACAAAATTGAAAGGATTTATTCTCTCATCAATCTAACACATTTAAATTTTTATATTTAAATATTTCTCACAATAATAAATTTTAATAAACAAAAAAAAAATCTTTGCCAACTAAATTAGTCTTCGTAATTTTTTTATTTCATGTTATTTACGTTATGTACTCAATTTTCACGCATATCGTTTTCAAGCCCCTACCGCATCCAAGACAAAGTGATTAAAAAGCTTTTGTTTATTCTTAGTGGGGGAAACTACTAATTATTAATCAATTAACAAAAAAAGCTGTAATTAATCATCTTGATCATTGCCATTTTAAAATCAATTTTGGAATCTCCCTATAAACTTTAAGGCTGTAACACTAGTATAATTATTATATTAATAAATTTTTTTTCTTCTTTTTTTTATTAAAGAAAAGACAGTGGCAAGAGCGTGGGAAACACGGTTCAATGAAACGGCGACAGTCACATGCTTGGTCCCTAATGAATTTGACTGGACGATGATGTTTGTCTCTCCCTGATGCTGATTGGGAGGGTATGCTTCAAGGTTTTTTTTTTTTTTGCTTTTTGCTGTGTCTGAATTCTTCTGATCCAAAACTGTCGTCTGAAAAAACAATTGTAAGAAGAAAATCTGTTTGGAATACGTGGAGGTTCTAGATTTTGGGGCCTCGTGCGTACTGTTTCATGGAGAATTTGCTGAGCAAAAACCTCTCTCTCTCTCTCTCAAAGTACATAAAGATGCTTTAAATTAATAAGATTTATCTTGTATTCATGTTTATCAGTTTGAATTTAAATGTGTAAAAAATAATATATTAAATATAAAATATATTAATTTTTGTTATTTAATGTTAAATTATATTATCTTTATATTAATCATCATATTATATTTAAAATTATTAAATTTACTTTAAATTAAGAGAATTAGAGAGAATCCAAAAGTTTTTTTTTTTTTTCTATTTTTCTTCCATCACTGGTTAGTGTTAGGGTTATCTTAGCTTTTTTCCACAGGCAACAATTGAAAAGCTGAGGATCACTGCCTGAATTTCCAAAGAGACCGAACAAATGGCATACATTGCATTGGCTACAAACAATAAAAGGTCAAAAGAGAAGAAAAAGACTACTTTTTTTTGGCCGCAAAAGAAAAAGGGTTCTTGAAAAACTTTTTTGATTTTTTTTTTGGTACCAAAATGATTTCATATAATTCCTCAAGGTTTCATTCTTTTAAGCAACTTTCCCTTCATTCCCTCGTTAATGCAATTCACCTGCCTTTTCAATGGAAAAAAATTTAAATGAAAAAATTTATATAATTTTTTATTAAACATTAATTAAATCAAAATCAAAATTAATAAATTGAAACATTTATTACATAAATTAAATGTACAAAATTTTAAAAAATTTTAAAAAATTTTATATACTTTTTTAAATACACATTCTAATAAAAATTATGACGTTATAATTAAATTTATATCATAAAATATATTTTTATTATTTTCACATATTATTAATATTTTTTATTAGATTCTATCTATTTAATCAATTTAAATTTGTATTAAATTATTTTTAATTAAAAACTTCACTAACTTTATCTAACGTAACGAATTATATCTAAATTATATCTCATTTCCAATACATCACCAATTTCAGAGAATCCTTTTCTTGGCAAAGCCATAAAAAAAAATTCGTTTCCCTTTCATTTCTTTGTTTGTAACTGTATTACATTGGCTACATAAGTTAAAATTTTCAAATGTATCAAGTCAGACAATTTGAATAATTGACCTTTAGTTTTGTGTTTTAATTATGGATTATTTATTTACATAATGTTACTGTCTCTGTCTTATATATTACGTCCTATATTTGACTTTTATTATTATAATATTTTCTTTCCAAATTATCTTTTGAAAAAAGTGGTATTTGATGTGAAAAGAAACGATTTACGTTGAGTAATTATTATATTATTGTATTTGATAAAAATTCAGTGATTTTACGTAATATAAAATAGATTTTAAATCATGAGAATGAGATGATTTATTTTTTATTAAAAATTTAAAAAATGATATATAAAATTAATTATAATTAATATTACTAATGTGATGCATGAATTAAAAAATTTTTTTTTCAAAATTATAATTATTTTATATTATACGTTTTTAACTTTTTAAAATAATAATCATTATGATAATATCCAAAATAAATTACATATTTTTTTTAATTTTTTAATGTTATATATAAATTAAGGGATATATATTACTTGCTAATTACACTATCGACAAATGCAATAATTTCTCATAATTTTTACCAAATGCTTTTCTTTTACCACTGTCATTTCCCACTTTCCTCTCTTTACTTTCTTTCCTAGTAGCACTAAAGTCATCGTTTATTTTTTTTACCCTTTTATATTTTTTAAGATTTTATTTAAATAGACAGTGAGATAAATTTTAACAAGATTAAAAATAATAGTGATAATGAGATTAAGTATTATAATAATAAAATATTTAGATGTAAATATAAAAGTGATGATAAGATAAAGTGCAATGATAATAAAAAATAATTATTAAAAATATTATATTAAAATTTATGTATAACAAAATTTTTACTATGTTTTTAATATTTATGAGTTAATAATTAATTGAAATTTGCTAAAATTATTTTTATATCAAATAACAATTTTATTAAAAATTAATAATAATAATTTATAATTAAAATATTAATTTAAAAGTATATTATATTAATAAATTATTTTTACGTATAATTTATATTTTAATTGATAATTTTACATTTTTAATGTATGAAAAAAATTATTTTATAGAAAACATTAATATATTTTGTGATATTTGTGAGATAAAGGTTAATAAATATAAGAGTAAAATTAAATTAAAAGTCATGACATGAAGGTATAATTGTTCAACTTGAATGACAATGAGTCACCATATCTCTTCCCTTCTAGCGGAGATTAGAGTTGCGGTAGAAAAATTTAGGTGCAATTGCATCATAATTGTGTTATCCAAGTAATACATCACAATGAAATTAGATTAAAAAATGCCTAATTGCATTGATCTGTAATTTTGTTCATATCCACATACAACTAAAGATGGCAGTCTAACTCGTATCTAACGAGATTCAACTTAATCTAATTTTTTAAGATTTTTTTTTTAAATTGAGTTTCAAGTTGGATCTAATGACAGAAAAAAATTCAAAGTAAAATTTTAGATAAACTCGTTTTGTCCCGACTTGATATATATAAAAAATTTATTTTTTAATTAATTATTTAATTATATATATTTAATTTTATATTTATATTAAAAATATTTTATTAATTTCAAATCAAATCAAATCAAATCAGATCAAATATGATTTTATATAATATCAAGTAAATTTGGGGTTTAGGTATTAAAATGTAAAAAAATGATTAGGTCGGGTTGATTCTATTATTGTTGATATAAAATTGGATCAGATTGAGATAAGTAAAAATCTATCTCGATCCGATTTATTATTATCCCTAAATATAACTTAAATTCTATAAAACTCTTTTTTATACTATCGTTTAAAACAAGATTTCAAGAATTTTCTATTTACACATATCTTTAAAACTTATAAGTAATTTTTTTATTTTAAAAAGGAAAATTTTGAATCTCATTTTTTTTAAAAAGATATTTTAATTATTATTGAGTTAAATATTTAAATAAAATAAATAAATATATAAATAAACATATGAAAAAAATTATAATAAGGTATTAAAATTTAAAAATGATATGATTTATATATAGAATAGTAAAAACTCACACAAAATTTATGCTATATATATTAAAACTATCTCCTAAGGAATAGATTTTTGACACTTGTCCAAATTACTAAGTTACCATTTTGCTTAATACTATAACATTATTGTTTTACCTTTACTTAAAATAAAAAATAAATTAAAATATCTATAGTCTAAAGTTCTCTATTAAAAGAATCCAATATTATAGTGTGATTATTTTTCCTTTTCAACATTAAAAAATAATTATTTTATCCATTAATAAAAATAAAATAATTTGGAATATAAATAATTGGAAAGATTAAAAAAATACCCAAATATGTTATATTGTGACATCAGTTTAACATTATAAAATAATCATTTTATTCTTTCTAACATTATAAAATAATAAATTTTCACTTTGATCAAAATAAAATAATTAACATATAAATAATAAAGAAATTAAAAAATATTAAAAAGTTCTTAAAAAGTTATATTTTAACATCTATCTAATATTATAAAATAATCATTTTACATTTTAATGAAAGTAAAATAACTTAAAATTAAAAAAATTAAAAAAATTATATGTACAAATTTTTTATAAATCAAAAACCTATATTTGAATTCAATAATTAAAAAAATGCATTTTAAAATAATAAATTAAAAGTTGTCCTGCAACGAATTTAGAGGTAAATACTAGTTAAAAAAAAAAAAAAAGAAAACAGCTAACCGAAAGCAAGAGAAGGCAACTGTGCGGCACAGTGACCGTTAGCCAGCGCCAAATATTCGATGAACTGGTTTGGTTCCTCTCTCCCTTAAAAACCCACCCCATACTCCTTTCTTCCTTTTAAAACCCAACCCAACCCAACCCCTTCTTCAAACTCTTCCTTCCTCTCTTGCTCTTGCTCTTCAGGCTTCACTTCTAACCAGCTGGTTTCACCCTTTCAACCGTTGGATCCTTACAACAAAAACGTACTCATAAAAAAAATGGTGGTGGAAAGTGGTTTCTCTTCCCCTCGAAATGATGCGTTTCCTGCCGGCCTCCGGGTTCTCGTTGTCGATGACGATCCTACCTGGTTGAAGATCCTTGAAAAGATGCTCAAAAAGTGTTCTTATGAAGGTTCTAATTTTTAAATACTTTGAACCAACTTTACTTTGTTACTGTTCTTCCTTCCTACTACAATACTAGCTTCCTTTGTGTTTATTTTAATCCACTGTTCATTGGGTCTTGCTTCTTTTTCCTGTAAACTGTTCATTTTTCGACTTTGGGTTTTTTATTCTCTGGGTAGAAGATTATAGCTTGGTAGCTTGTAGGCATGTTTCATTTTCTGTTTTTGGTGTGTTTGGAAAAAGATAATGGTTATAAAATGAATGTATAGTTGAAAAGACATGCTTTAATTGAGAGATTAAGACTATGAACATGTTATAAAATGGAAGTATTTTCAAGCAGCAAAGGTTGAGTGGGCGAGGTTGATCATCACTCTTGGGTCCTGTCTTTGTAAATGTCATAGAACTGTGAAAAAATATGAAATTTTGGTTCATTTTGTGGTATTGGATCATGAAATTGGATTGACTTAATTGAAAAGTATGCCTTCTACCACTTGTATTGCCATTATATTTTTTCGGTTCTCATAGTGTTGTTTGGTTTAATCATCTTGCATTCTTGCTAGCATGGAGGATATTGATGGGCTTATATGATTAGACTCAGCCAGACTTTTATTTGATTAAGTTTTCATGGCACTACGGATGAAAAGGATGTTTTCTTTTCTAAAGGTCAGTTGTGGGTGTAAAATGTTCGTTCTGGCATCATTTTGCAAAAATATGTTCTAATTCTTTGAATATGGGGTGCACAAAAGACAAATTTGCTTAAAACCATGGTTTTTAAAAGGTTATTAAAGTTGGTGAGATAGTATCGGCTGTGTCGTTTTAAGCATAGACTTTGCATCTGAATAAGCTTAAAATTTATTCTGTGAAGATCAATCAAACGAATGTGAAAGTATCAATTTGAGTTTGAAGATACTGATGGAAATTGTGATTGTATTAAGTATATGTTTTCCTTCTCAACAAAGCTTAAAACATTTGAGAGATAGAAATTCTGACACATTTCTTTACTACTTCTGAAGAAAATTTCATGAACTTTTTCATTCGTTAGGTTGCTAAAGTTATTAATTAACCAGAAATCGTTCAAGTAACTTTGCTGGTCAATTGGGCAAGTTGAACCTAGCGCTGAGTCCCTCTCCCAACCTTTTGTCTCCTTTCTACGCAAATTGAATATGTACTTCATTAATCTTTGTTAAACTAGTAACAGACATTAATAACGGAGATTATGGCTAGGTTAATTGAGCTTGAAGTTCAAGCAACTTCTGTCACCTTTTGCGCTGTAATTTATGACTTATAATCATGAGTTTTAGTGAGAGCTGCGAATGTCTTTGATTGTTGGCTGGTGGTAGAATTTGAACAAGATTAGGTGGGTGTATTAATGAGCTTGACTTTAGCCAAATCTACTGAAATCTACTTTAAACTTGAATGGGAACAAGAAAACCTTATGACTTATGATTATCACTCTTAGTGAGAGCTGCGAATGTCTTTGATTATTGGCTTTGTTGGTGGTAGAATTTGAACAATATTAGGTTGACGTATTAATGAGCTTGACTTTAGCCAAATCTACTGAAATCTACTTTAAACTTGAATAGGAACAAGAAAACCATTGGCTGAAGCTTGATTTGAGGTAGATGCATCCAGGGTCTAATTGGCCGAATATTGGCTTGCCTAAATAGTTTACCTTTTGTATTGGTTATTTGTTTCTTTAAATGCTTCATTGGTGCAACTTCATTTTAATCTCTGCCACTTCAGTCAGATATGGTTTCCAAACATCCTTGCATTTAGACTAAAGACGCTTTTGACCTGGAGATGGTTGCTCTCAAATAATTTAAAACCTGATTTCTTTCCTTTTTATGGAGGGAGGGGAGTTGTTCTATCGGTGAAAATTGAAATTGTAGTTGTTTTCCATGCTTTCATAAGATACTTCTTCAGGTTTTTTTTTTTTTTTTTTTTAACAATAAATTAAGCATTCAAACATATTTTTATACAATCCTAACAATCTTTTTTGGTGTTTCCCATGTTTCAGTGACTACATGTTGTCTTGCACGAGAAGCTCTGAACTTGCTTCGTGAAAGGAAGGATGGTTATGACATTGTAATCAGTGATGTTAACATGCCTGACATGAACGGGTTTAAACTTCTAGAACATGTTGGACTGGAAATGGACTTACCTGTCATTAGTCAGTTCACTACCGTAACATATGAACCTTTTTATTAAATGTCATTTTTTGCTCCATTTATCTTTTCAAATTCAATAGAACCAGCTTCTGAGTAGCTCTGTTTATGTAACATCACAGTGATGTCTGTTGATGGAGAAACAAGCAGAGTGATGAAAGGTGTCCAACATGGCGCTTGTGATTACCTTCTTAAGCCTATAAGAATGAAAGAGCTTCGCAATATATGGCAGCATGTGTTCAGAAAGAAGATACATGAGGTGAGAGACATTGAAAGTCTGGAAGGCATTGAAAGTATTCAGATTACAAGAACTGGCTCTGATCTGTTTGATGATGGGCACTTGGTTGGTGGAGAAGATACGACATCAGTAAGGAAAAGAAAAGATGCTGAAAACAAGCATGATGATAAAGACCTCAGTGATCCTTCTTCTACAAAGAAAGCTAGGGTTGTTTGGACAGTAGACCTCCACCAAAAATTTGTCAAAGCTGTAAATCAGATTGGATTTGATAGTAAGTATGATTCAAGCTTTTGGTTTTAAAAGTTAGTCTCTTTATCATCATCATAAAGTAGCAATACATCTCTTAATGGTCCAAAAGTTTTTTCTTTCAATTACTTATCTTTCAGTGATATGGCTATAATTTTTAATCATGCTCTTAACATATCATGATATTGTAATGTCTATTTGACAGAAGTTGGTCCTAAGAAAATACTTGACTTGATGAATGTACCATGGTTGACAAGAGAAAATGTTGCCAGCCACTTGCAGGTAAATACCTCCCACATAGATTTTCCCGATGATAGTGCAGTTATTTGAAAAACTTTACAACCAAATCGATGAAAGAAATGTTAATTGTCAATAATCTAAGACATCGTTTAGATTCTCATCAGGAAAAATTCTCTTGTGCAGAAGTACCGCCTCTATTTGAGTAGGTTGCAGAAGGAAAGTGATTCAAAAAATTCGTTTATTGGTATGAAGCATTCAGACCCACCTTCAAAAGATTCTGCTGCCAGTTTTGGTCTCCATAACTCGATGAACGTGATACAGGATGATGTGTCCAACGACACCTCTTGTTTTTCTGTTAATAACTTACTTGCCCAGAATGTGGATCTCAAAGGTCATGAAGGTAATCGAAAAGGAACTACTTCGGTGCCTGTGTCAGAGCACAAAGGAGCTTTGCCTGTAGATATTCCTGATCCCCATGCAGCCAAGAGTTTGGAGATAAGCTTTGATCATTCCCTTGGATCAGTTGATTCAGGTATAAACTTTGCATCATTCAATTCTACCAACGCAGCACAGAACTCCTGGAGTGAAATTCCTGAGATTCAGTTCAAACAAGAGTGTGAATCATTGCTAGAAAATGGCTTCAACCAACTACCACTGCCTGGTTCACAGCATCACATGCGGACAGAATATCTACAACCTGCCGCATCTATTAGCTCTGGACCTTCCATAACAGAAAAAGTGGCTAGTAGTAGCAGAATTGGAGTTAAACCTTTGTATGATGGTTATAGAAGAAATCATGTGAAACATTTAAGTCCAACAGAAGCAGTTGAGTTGTTTCCTGTTCAAAGCAAAAACCAAACGCTAAATAATCAAGTTTTTGAGCCTATTTCTGTTACTACATCAAGCATGAAATGTCAGGACGTCAGTCTGAACTGCCTCACTGACTTGGAATTTGGACAGAGAAACCTGAATGGGGGAGTAGGAATACCTTTAGCATCTTTGACTGGAGACTTACAAGTCTGTTGGCTTCAAGGTGATTGTTATGCTATGAATTTTGGTCCCCAAGATTTCGAGTGTACTGAGTATAACGATCCTGCCGAAATTCCATTCCACTTGTATGATGCGCCAAGGTTTGACCACGAGCATCTCTCTGACTCTACAGAATATTCTGCAATAGATCAGGGGTTATTTGCATAGCATAAAGTTGTTCTTACAACACATCTTCGATGAAGAAAGGATCCTTTGCTGTTTAGGTAATATCTAGAAGTGGAGTACTTCTTTTTATGGATAGGGATGTCATTTTCCCATTCAGTTTGGACTTGGTTGTTGAAACATGTATAATACCAGTGGTGATATAAACGTTATAATAATTTTGCTGCTATAAGTTTCTAACCTGGGACATGCATCTGTTAGAGCTGTATTAATATGTATTTATGAAAGTGACATGTGAACTTGGGTGCAAGAATGGATCTAATCTCTTCTCTCTTATTTTTGTCTTGGATGCAAGAATGGATCTGATCTATTCTCTCATTTTTGTCTTTCAAAATTTAATCCTTCGTGTTTTTTTTTTGGGAAAGTTGGGGAAGCCGTTGCTCATCATTGGCTTTATTTTTGTGCTGCAGATTCTTGAGTCTCCAAGACTCTTAACTGATTTTGGGATGCATTAAAGACCTTAGGGTTAGACTACATAAAAAGCCACAAAACTTATCTTATCTACAGACAAGCAGTTATGGTTGCTTAACAAGATTGTACCTAGGATTGATGTTGAATTTGGCACTAGAAAAAAATTACAAATTCTTCCCTGGTGTAAATTCTATCCTCCACCAGCAACTGATCCTTCATGTTCTGGCTTGTTGAAATACTCCCTTTGCCAACTGAATGCTGGATATTTGGAGAAGCATTTCATACCTGTTCTTAGGCAATGAAGTTACCGAACAAGTTATCCTGTTATTTTTTACTAATAAATGCTTAGAGCTTTCAGTATTGTTGGACGGTATCCTTGGAGGTCTAGAGTTTGCATCCTGCACTGTGTTAGGAGACTTCCTTTCAAATTTTGCTGAGTCAGGTCAAGCTGAAGGGATCTGCAAGGCATAATTTACCGTTAAATCTACGACTTAAAAGGTGTATGCATCTAAAACAAACATAGATTCTCGATTACACTCACTCGGGAAGATCAGGAAAGAGTTAAGTCTGCCTCTTCACCAACTCACCATCAAGAGAAACATAGGAGCACAAAGTTAATTTAACTGACAAAAATAAAACAAACTTTAAGTCTATTTCATGGCATAGAGCCCAAAATTTTTAACTCATGGCTAAGCCGTTCAAGATAGTGTTGAAAGCAAGCAGCAGAATTGATGCATCATTAATTCCATTATATTATAGTCAGCATCAAAAGAAAGCTGGTTAAGATGGACATAAGAACCTTCTTAACCTGATTGGGTGAAGACTGTGAGCCATGGTATAAATCTTCATTTGGTCTGGCTTTAAAGCCAGTGCTCTGCCTGAGTTTGTTAAGGTCATTCTTTGCTTTCTCCTACATATAATGGCATATGTTGTACTTTAATTGGTTTCACATGCAATGAAACAGATGAGATTAGAGGAAACTGTATACTATATTCATGCACAATTACATAATCTTGCATGGTACAAACGCACAGTATTCATAATGTGCATGTGCACACCCCCAAAGACGGAGTATTCATATGGTATAACATAATACTCTAGACCAAATCAGACAACTCAACCAAATTGATTCTTGAATTAGGTCAAAGCTATGTGATTTAGGAGCTTGGCCTCAGCAACTGCAGGGTTTCATCAGTTACAATAGTGCCAACCTCCCAAATCCATATACCAACATCCTAATAAGGTTGTCTGACTTGTACCTTCGACCATGTCAGCATTTGTGATTTTTCTGCCTCCTTTGAGTATATTTTATCTTCTAGCTTCTTAAAGAACTGGCATGAGCCGAGCAAGGAAACACTAAGTCTTGGTACAATTTGGAATGATGACAATTAAAGCATGAGGAAAAGTAACAGTAAGACTTGCCTCTTTCCATTTTGCTGCCCTTTCGTCACTCCTAAAACTAAATGGAGAGGAACTAATATGAGATCGTGTACTGCTTCCACATGCAATTGAAGACTTTGAGCAGCTGCCAGCATTCAATAGAGAATAGTATGAGGTTCAGATAAGGAAGGGGGGCTTCAGTAATTAGGTAAATAGTACCAGAGACCCGATATGGAAAGTTAAAAGCATAATTAACCGGGTACAGCATAATGCACTTTTGGTAGCTTCCCCCCCCACCCCAAAAAAAAAAAGAGTATACCAACAACTAGATTAATTTTCAGACATCCCCAAAATGCAAAAGATGTCAAAAGGCTAAGTAGCAAAAACTCTCCAGCTACCCCTCCTGAAACTGAGTTATTGAGTACTGCTCTAGTCCTGTAGAAATAGATTATGTCAGTGAAAGCGAAAAACCTTTTAGGCAAATATCAGCAAAGACATTTTGGGAGGGAAGACTACCTTTTGTCTTGTGAATGAAGAACTTTTGAAGCATACTTTGGAACCCCATTAACAGATGCCTGCAGTTTGTCAAAGAATTTTCTCTTGGTCATTTAACAAATCAAAACCACTTGGTATCTGGTCCCGAAGTATTTGGTACCCTCTAAAAGAATTTGCAAATAAAAATGTATACTCAACAATATTGTGATTTTTCACCATCATAAATATTGTTATTTTGTCATCCACTCTTGAAAATATCCAATCATATTTTGGCCCATGCAATTGTCTCTTAATGTGCAGATAAGGAGAAGAGCACATAAATAAGGTGACACAGCAGAATTACCCTGCTTGGAGTTTGTAGAGTCAAACTTTCTCTGGATATCTTGAGTGATGTTTTAGTGGTTTCACCAGTAAGCGGAGTGAAATTCATTGACATTTGAAGGGATTTTTTAACTATTCTCCTCTGCACATTTGAGTCTACTAAAGACTTTTCATCAATAAGAGCATGGTTATTTCCAATTCCTGAAGTTGCTTGTTTGCACAGTCCACCATGATTGGATAACTTCGATGTGGAATTTGATTGTCTTTTTCCACTTGCTGGAGTTAAATTCTCTTGACCAGCAGCTTTCTTCAATGCCCTGGTTGGGGTTTGTAGAGGATTTGAACAATCTTTTCGCATTCTGAGCAATGTTTAACTAGTTTTACTGGCACCAGAAGCAAAATTATTGACATGTGGAGCAAGTTCTGAATTGTTTTCTTCTTGTCATTTGAGCTTACCGGGGACTTAGCAATACCATCATCACTCCTGGCTTGTGCTGAAGCCCTCGTTTAGAAGGATGCAATGGAAGTTTGGATGCGCTGCTGGGAGTTGATGACTTTGACAAAAAATTTATTTGCCTTTTCTTGCTTGATGAAGTCAAGTTCTTCTGGTCGGTGCATTCCTGCAGTATCCCAAAATGAGGACAATCATAAAGACTTGAGAAAGGAAGAATGAAAGTGCAAACGTGTTTTGAATTAAAATTACCTTATGGGGAATCTTTTTATCTGGGGTTGCCATAATAATGCCATGGTTGTCAACATTTTCAAGAGCCTTTGAATTTTCAACCTGGGTGTTCTCCATATTCACAGCTTGTTCCATTGCTGCCTGACCTCTTTCCACATCAGTAACATCATATTTTCTCTTCCAACATTAAGATTGCCTGCATCTACATCAGCATCAGAAACATCTTTCTCCTGTTGATTCATAGACAAAGAGCTGTTTGCATTGGCTGAATCTGTATTCAAGGAAGAGTCAGCTGAAGCTGCATTTATAGTTCCCATTTCAGAGGCATCACTGGTAAATAGTATTTGCTTGCTCGAGCAAGGCCGTTGCCTTCATTGCAGCTCTTCTCTTGTAATGAGCTTCAAAATAAGCTTTCTTCTGAGCAACGGATCCTGGCTTTGAAAACTTTTCCACTTCTTCCAAGTAACGATTATGAGAGAAGGTTGACCATTTCTGCCAAGCCAGCGATTCTGAAATAAATCTGCCGAGAGATACTGATTCTGTGAGAGCACGAATTGGATTACCCTCTGGTTCAAAATCATGCATCAGTTTCCTGACCAAATTCTTCAAAGATAGGCCCTAAAAGTGCTGATTCAGTTTCTATTCATTGATACAAAAATTGAAGAAAAAGGAAACAGCATAATAAAAAATTTTCTTAGGGAAAGCATTGGAATGTCAAGCGATCATAATACGTTCTATTTGGTTACTGAGAGACTGAAAGGAAAGGGTCATTAATAACAACCCTAATGCGTCATTCAGATCTCTTATAAGTATCCACTTTCCCATAATTTCCCTGCAACCAAACAAGTATTAGTAAAATAAAACAACTGAATCAGGGGATCCCATTAAGTAAACATAGAAAAGGGAACAGCTTTTATCATTGAAGTTTCAGTTTTTTGTTCACAAAACTGACGACCTCTTTAGCTTCACGAGAAATATCTGCAGGATTAGAAAATGATCTTACAAGACAAGCGGATTCACCCATTTCCAAAACCACCCAAGGGTTTTTTTTTTTTTTTTCTCTTTTAGTTTCCCATTCTCTTCTCTTGCTCCCCTCCTTCAGTTCACTCTTGCGCTTCACGGTTTCAACCTCTGTCACTCTTTCTGCAAGCAAAAAAGAAACCCACCAAGAGAGGCTCCCTCTTCTAACCGTTATTTGAAACACAGGCCTCTTTCTCACTAGGTTCATGGTCATGGGTCCATTTCAATGTCCACGCTAAACAATGGGTACAAGCGTAACTCTATTTTTTTCTTTTCCTATGAATCTATGTTCGTAAAGAATCTGATGATTGATTTCCTTTTAAGTAAGATAGATCTGATCTGGTTCGACCTGATAAATCAAATGGGTCCCATTTGTTGAAATTTAAAATCTTCCTAACGTCCAGGTCCTTTTTTCTTTTTCTTTTATAGATGATTATTGCTAATAGCTCATGCTCATATTCATATGTCAGGACAGAAAAATGTGGGTACTCTGGATTTAGAGAATCTCTAAAGCTTTATATTTTCATATTAGTTTAGCTTGGCTACTAATATGAATTTGGAAGCCATGAAAGAAAAGAAAAAAAAAAAATTGGTGTCGGAGCCATGGAGGCAGACAATCCAGTGTGGGCAACAGTTTTCTCATGTCAAAACAAAAACTTTGATTTTGAAATTGATGGAGAATGTTCAACCACCTTTTGTCCTCCATATCTTTTAAGTATCATTGCTGCAAGCATTATTCAAAGACTATATATTGGGTATTAACTTAACCCTCCAAAAGGAAAATGTGTTTGTTAGGTCAGGGAAAAAAAAAAAAGACAAACATTTAAGAAACGAAATTGCTAATGGTGGAAAGAAGCAGCAATCCGTTTAGGGAGAGTAATATGTTCATGTGAATGAAATTCAATCTTTTTAGTTGGCTATTTTATTTACTTGAATGCAAGTCATAGTTGATACTACAATGTAATGCTACATACAACTTCCGATGCCAAAATTTTAAGACTGTTAAATGTTAATGTTTTGGTCTTTGCTCTTTATGCATCTCTTTTTTCGGATAGGAAGGTCCTTGCTTGTATGAAAAGGTGAAGATAGTTCTAAACATTAACATTACCTTAGAAGGTAACATTTGTGGACGATGTACTTTAAAAAAAAAATTGTGCGCAATAGAACATATAATCATGAACAAAACTTAGCAGCAGAATTTTTGAGCTCATCACTTTTGCTTGAAACATTCCTGGAGCAAATGAAGCATCCAAATCAAGGACCAATGACTATGACAACCAAATGGCTAGTCTATATCCTCAACCTTTAACCTGGTAAGTGAAACAAAAGTTGAAGAAAAATCATTCTAACCCCTCAATGAATCAAATTAAGGGCACGATATAATGATAAAGACACTTGATCCAACATTCTAATAACAATGGTAGTGAAATCATAAGCAACATTACTATTTATTAATGTCCAGAAGACTTACTTGGCCCTTTTCTGTAGATTTTTCCTCTTACTCCTCAGGTTTGGCAGAATTTAATTCTGTTATCTTCCCAAAAGACTCTTTTGCATCACCAAAGAAGTCTTTCACTTTATCTAGCACTGTTTTAAGCTGGTCTTGTGTTGGCAGCTGAATTGGATTTGGAACATAAATATGTTAGGAGTAGAAAGGGGGAAATTTTTGTCATTGAAATCAGAATGGAAAATCAAAAACAGGAAAGAACTAGTAGAATGCAGTTGCATAAAAAGTTCTAATATAAAATCAGTCCACACTGCCAGCCAAAATCTAAACATTTTTCGAGAAATCAGCCAACTACATGGAGTCTCATTTTGTTACAAACTAATATAGAGTTTGATAAGTTAGAATGATAGAACCGAAAAAAAAAAATGTATGCTCACCTCAATAACATTATTGGTAGAAAGTGCAGCTCTCATATTACCATTTTCCTGCAAATTTAGCACACACTATTAAGAAAATGAAGCAGTGAATTTCTTCATCATCTAGGGGCAGAAAACAAATAGTTTTGATGATAATAAGGCAGGAAAACCAACTCTGAACTAAATTTTACAAAATATAGGATAGGGGAATAAGAACTTTACAACAAGTTTGTAGCCATATCTGAACTCAGTTGCAGATCGCAATACACGGAATTGTTTAAATGCTGTCTTTTGTATCTCCTTCTCATCCTATTTGCAAAAAGAGCCCAGTAATCAATAAAACTTTAGAAGTAGGTTGAAAATAATGCAAAGTGATTAAATATGAAAAAGTTAAAATCCCAAAGTTACCTCCGGTTAAGTAAAATGAAATATTAATATGTTATCTGATAGTGCTAAAACTGACAGGAATTTTATTAACTTCAAAATGAGAAAAAGCTTCAAATCTGTAGAGTCATGAAAGTTACTTAGCTAAAAAACCAAGTGCCAAACTAAGTTCTTTTCTTACAGCATATCCTAATACAAGGACCAAAACTACAAATTCGAGGAGAATTCCAAAACTGTAAGTTTAGGTTCCATGAGTCCAAGACAGAGTTTAACACTAACATGCTTGAGTTAAGTCATCTTTCCTTATAGTGCAGTAAGCATTGTGTCCTCATTTGTTACAATGGATATGATTAATAAATATAAATTCTTTACACAATACAAAAAAGCATAGCAATCGTCTTGACAGAGTTAAAGTTAAAGATCACATCACATAATAACCTTCTTTGTTCCTATAAAGTATTGATGAAAGTAGAATAAATTTATTAGCCCCAAAAAATAAAGAAAACTAATTACTGTCTGGAATATTGACTCAAATCCAAAAAAGTTAATGAAAGATTTTTTGAGATATTTGTGAGATTCACTAAAGTACTGTTTGGTGATCAAGTTTACTTTCTAAACAAGTTAATTGTCTATAAATATAAAGTGGGTGTTGACCTTTAGAATTATGAATGAGATCTACTCTCTATAAGACCTTTATGTGGGAAATGGATTTATAGGGATACGAAGAAGAGCTGGGGAAAACACAAGGCTACATGGGATAAAGGGTATTCTATTTGTTTAAAAACTAGGAGGCATGAAGCTAGGGTTGCTTTGGGACTTGGGATTAGTGCTTGTTTTTTGAGTTTTTTTTTTTTTTTGTACTTTTTGTAATCTCTACGTTTATAGTGAATTTTTCTCTCTCATCCATAGATGTAAGCAATTATAGCTGAACCACATTAAGTATTATCTCTTGTGTGTGATTTATTTTGTATTGATCTCATTATAGAATACGTTTTTTGTTTGAAAATCGCAACAAATACAACAGAATTTATAAAAGCAGAAAGAGTGTATAGAAAGGCAATTACTCTGGAGTCTAGACAAAACCAAAAAAAAAATGATAAAAAGACTAAGCAACTCTCAAATCTTAGAAAAGTAATTATCCTATGAAGAGATAATGTCAGGGTAGACAGAATTTACTCTGTAAATAACTGCTGCAAGATTTCTAGCAAGTGTATCTTTATAGATGTATTTTCCAAGGAAATTGTCCTTTGCCGCAACCATGATTTTAGCAGTGGTGCCACCTGAAACAAGACTAAGTGGGTACCAAAGATTAACCTGCATAAGTAATAAGACTTTGATAGTCAAGAAAAATGTAGCTATGCTACAATTTCTTTTACATAATTCACATTTAAAAATTACCATGCAGACAAATATTTTTGGATTTTTTTTTCGACAGGGGATGGTCACAGACAAGGCATGAATTGGTTAGCAGATCTTAAGGACTAGTACATGGCACAAACACTGCTACTAAGAGAGTGATGGTAAGTATTAAAAGAGAGGATTTCTTTTTCTTATCCATGTTTCCCCTCCTTGATATGGGTTTCGGAGAAAAGAATTACCGCAACAGCAATGCTAAACTTGCCCTGAGCGGCCTAACTAAAGCTACAATGATTTGAAATACTATCTGGGAAATATGTATCCATCAAAAGTTTTCATTAATTGTATCTATCAACTCCTCATTGCAACTATATTCAAAAACTCAAATTTAAAGTTTCAACTTAAAGCTTCCAAAAGCTTACACTTACAACTATTATAGAAGCCAAAACAAAATCTTTTTACCTAACCCCCATTTGCCCCAACTATAGTTTTCTATCTATTTTAGGTTGCCAGTTTGCAAACACACAAGAACATAGTAACTCCAACAGAATATTGGAAAAAAAGAAGCAAATTTAAGAATTGATAAAAGGAAAAAAAAAAAGAAGAAACAAAAAGAACAAAGAAAGCCAATAATGGGAAATAAACATTGTCAGGGAGAAGGAGAGGCAAACATTGGCCATGCGGATGAAGATGACAAAGCGAGGGTTGCCATCTTCTTCAATCTTAGGCAAAGGAGGAGGTGGAGGCCTTTGAAACCGACGAGCTGCCATTCCTTTCTTCCCTTTGGCTTCTATCACAAGCATCCCTCCTCTCTGTTGCCGTCTCCTACTCTGCTGCAGCTGCTGCCACGTCGTTGTTCTGGAACTGAATAGCGAGTGCTTCACCAACCCATTGACTGCTTCGTGCTGTGTTCTTGACGTAGTAGACAAAGGAAGCCTCACCAGCGCATTTAACGACATACCCACCTCCATTTTTTGGCAAATGAACCTTTTTTTTTTGCTTTTCTTGTCTTTGTAACTGCTAACTGTAGCTTTCTTCTTTGATGGAAATCGGGATGATATTCTTTGGGGAGTGGATCTTATCCACGCTCTGAGAATTTCTGAGGAAAAAAATGTGGGGTCTACACTCAACAGAATATCACAGACACGTGGCGTTTCACCGTTTAACTGGTAGTAAGAACTTTGGGTCCCACACAAGAGTGTTCTTCTCGAGACCGTGCGTTTTAGCCCATTAACACATGCCTGCCTAGTGCCGTGTCAATTGTATGCTTAGACCAGTTTAATGCTTAGACCCATCAATTCCGAGCTGGAAAAATTCATCTAATTCATCCCATGATCCAATTTGATTTGATTATAAAATTTAATACTTCTTCTAGCTTTTTTTTTTTTTTAAATCCTAAAATTATATATATTTAAATATTTTAAATATATATTTTATATTTTTAAATTATTTTATTTTTTTACATTAAAATCATGAAAATTTAATTTTATAAAAAAGTAAATTTTAATATTAAATACATTAAAATCAAAACTTTTTTTTTAAAATTTTATGAAAATCATGACAAATATTTTGGGACTGGAGGAGAAGTATGAATCTGCTCAATTTGAAACCAAAAACAATTTGAAGTTAAAACTAATTTGAATCTAAATCAATCTAAATTCAAAATGGATCGAACACGAAACGACCTAAAAAATTAATTTGAAATAATTCAAAACTAAATTAAGTGTAATTTTATTTAAAAAAATTAATTTAATAAAAATAATAAATATAAGACAAATAAATACAATAAATATAACATAAATGAAAACTTCTTAAAATTATTGAAAATATCAAATTAATAAATATTTTTTAGTATCAAACAAATATAAATTTTATATAATTTATGTTGTAAAAGTTCTTATAATTTATAATATAATTTTAAAAAATTATATATTTTTAATCATCATAAATATACATATTAATGTATCATTTAAAATAAATTATATAATCTCCTATAATTATTCATGAGTAGTAACTACCATATGATTTAAAATAATATATATAAAACAAGTTATTGATTTATATATATTATAAATTATTACTATATTTTAATTATACTATTAACTTTTAATCATCTAATTTAAAATAAATTATATAATGAACTACAAATATATTAAAATCTAAAATAATAAGCTACAATTATTCTAAAACGACTATTTTATTTTAATTATAATATTAATATAAAAATAATTACATATTAAATGTGTATCATAATTAATTATTTAAAATAATTTTTATATGATTATATTAAATATTTAATTATGTATTATAACTAAAATTTTAAAATAATTTTTATATATTTATATTAAATTAAAATAAATATAAAAAACTATTAAACATGTTAAACGTGACAAACATGTTTTGCATGTCATATACGTGTACTTATAAGATAAGTTTAATTAAAAATATTTTTTATATTTTACGCATATCAAAATTTGTATTAATATGATTAACAGGAAATACATTTTTCTAAAACTCATAAAATTTTTTTCATGTTATTTTGGTGTCATGCCATTGCGCCCTATTTAATTGTCAAGTTTAATAAAATCATATTTTTTATTTATATAAAAATTAACTTTAATTTAAATCATACAATCTATAATATTTTATATTTATTTTTAAAATATTATTTTTTAATTTCTATTTTTAATAAAATTATAATAAAATTTTATTCGAATTTGATCAAGTAATCTATTTAAACTTAATTTAATTTAATTCTAAAAATTTAAAAATTAATAAATTGAATTTGAAATAGTAAGAACTCAAATAACTCAAGTGTCAAATCCAAAATACTCAAACTGAATGAACCAAACTTGAATTGGTCTAAACCAAAAATAATTCAAGCTTAAATTAACCGAACCTAAAATAACTCAATCAAATGACCTAACCTAAACTTGACCTAATTTTTTTAAAAATCTAAATGACCGAATTGAATTAATTTAATTTAAACCCAATCCAACCCATCCAATTGACATGTCATTATGCTCATTTTGCATTAATTAGATAATTTAAATTTGATTGTTGAATTATCTTAATTAATTATATTTTATGCAAAGACGGACTGTCGTTGATGCACGTGCCCCCCCCCCCAAAACTTTGACAAATATATTTAATATATAAAAATATATTAAATAAACTTAAATTGTTCTCTCTTAAATTAAAATTATTAAAATTATTTATTTATTTTTATTCATAATTTAATTTTATACCCTTTTTATTAACTAACAAGGAAAGTGTAGAATATATATTTATAAACTTTATGCATTTTGCTTATATAAATACGGTAAGTCTTATAAAAAAATATATAATATAATATTAATTAATCCTTCAAAATTAAATATCAAGATTTGTTATTAATTTTATACTATAGTTATATAATTAGTGCACATAATTCGTTGTTTAATAATTTGAAGGTTTCTAGGAGGCAGAGAACGCAAATATGTCTGATCTATCAAAAAAAAAAAAATTATAAGTGTGAAGATGATACTTTAGAGTATGCTTGGACACTCAAGACCTATAGCTGCAGAAGTAGGAATAATGGCACCAGAAATAATATTGTTTCCGTGAAATTTAAATTGAAATTTAAATTGTTTCCGTGAGATTCAATTTATGAAGTTAAATTGAATTACACGTGAAATTTAAAAAATACGTGGCACATGACGTGTATATCCCAATAACATTCACGTGAAAGCACCATTCACGACAAAGAGATGAGGCAATTTATAGGCAGAATGCAAAAGCAAAATGATTTTCAAACCCACGCTGCCAACACCCACAATCACAAAAAAACAACCTTAAACCCAAGATTCCCATTACTTTTGCCAGCCACCATCTAGCTCATAGCCACCACACTTAACACCACACCACACCACCACTAAATCCATAATCGAACTGCTCATTCACCACCTTTAAGAACCACCTTTGCCACCACAAAAAACTATACCAAAACTCAACCTGAAAACATCGCTCACCACTCCTTGCCATTTAAATAAAAATACCAAAAATTGTCATTTTCCATCACCATTTTGAAACCAATGAAATCACCCAAAAAGTACATGTAAAAACTTACAAAAAAGGGTAGTCGAAATCAAAAAATCCACCCAACTAGCAACCTGAAACGTCATTTCCAAACCATCATCACCACTATCACCTAAACACCACACTGATTGAAGCCCTCATAAACTTCTAACATTTATCAAAGAAAAAAAGTAAAAAAATAAGCCACATCCCCAAGAAGAACTGTAGTAACAAAAAAAATCAGTTAAATGAAAAATGAAATGAAAAGTGTTCAAAGAGGGCTTTTATAGGGATTGATTTCCAAGTTTTGAAAAAGGGGGATAGAGGCTTGATTTGAGGAGAAAATGAAAAAAAAAATTATAGAGGGGAAAGGCCGAATTCAATTGGGAAATAAAAGGAAGAGGAAGGAAAAGAAAAAGAAATGGGGAATGAATAAGAAAGAGAGAATAAAAAAGAAGAGGAGAGAAAGGATAGGCCTAATTCGGCTGAAGAAAGAAGGGGTAGACAAGCCTAGGGATAAAAAGAAGAAAGGAGTATAACCTTAAATTGTGAATCAAATTTTCACATCATGTGTCACGTATTATGAAATTCCACGTGTAATTCAACTTCACGGCATAAACAGTTTTCATCCAATTTAAAGCTTATTTAATTGAAAATAAAAATATAAAAATTTTATTAATTGTAATAAAAAAATAAATGGCTTAATTGATTATTCAATTTTTATTTATGGGCTTTTTAAACTCTTAAGCCATCAATCAACTATAAATTGACATCTCATTAATAAATAAATTTTAAATTTTAAAATCTTTTAAAAATAAATATGAATAAATTATGTATTTAATTAGATAAAAAAATTGAGGAATTAAGAATTTTTTAAGTTGAACTTTCTTTTTCTTCAATCTTCCAACTATAGAGAACGATAAATTTTTTTATTGAAATATTTGTTAAAAGATTAGTAAGAGAAAAAAATTTTTCAAAAATCTTTAAGTAATTAAATACTAAGTCATTGACATTTATTTTTAAGGGCTGTCGAGTATAGAATGTATAGGATGTATATACTAAGGATATATAAAATATAAATCCTTTCATTAATAGCAAACACCTCCAAATTTTCTCCAAACACAAAAAAACATTGCATAAAATGGGCTTTATTTCATTTTTATGCACCTGTATGTTAGTTTATTACATCTTTATTTTCAAACAGTGCATTAATATGAACAATTTTTTCAAAGCCTTTTTTTTTTTTTTTAGACTTAAACCCAGTACCCAAGCAAATACCATTTCAAGTTCAGACCCCACACAAAGATGGCTTAAATCCTTGAATTAAGGTCATTTCCAGCAAGAGGCTGCAATAATTGGTTTTGATTTCCAGCCGAGAACCAAGCACCCTTTGTCTTCTGCAATTGTGTAACCCTCACAAACCTTAGCCTTTCCAAGCCACTGCTTGGCCCGCATTATCATCTTGATAGGCGCTGTTTGAAAACCAGCCCGGCTCATCCTCCTGCGCCATTGATCCACCCTTTCGTGCCTTTCGATTCTGCCCGGCCCTTCACAGCTTACAATGTTCTTTATCTCTTCGGCGAAATAGAATTGCTCCATTTTGGCACGCCTAGTGTCATACTTGGGCAGCATTGTGTCTAGTGAGTCAAATATGGCTGAGTAATAATGCAATGCCTCCATGAACCTGCCAAGAAAGAAAGGCCCGTTATGACTCGAGTCTTGCTCTATTAGAATGAGGAGCTTGGGAGACAATTCATGTAGCTTTTGTAGAACTGAGTTCAATGCTCCTCGGCTCTCTTTCACCGCGCAATGCAATTGAAAAATGCTATTGATGACCAAGGCCTCATCATTCGATGTCTTGAAATCTTCAGGTTTCAGGTTTTCTAAATTGCTTTCCACGACTGAAAACTCATAGTTCAATTTCAAGCTTTTTGCGTAGTGTTCTAGATCATCTCCAATTGCTTGGAGGCGTTCACGGCAGGTTCCCACTCCGGTTATTCGAAGACGTTTGGGTGGCTGACCTGCACGGTGGACTAGGCTTTGCATTAGGTTGCGCCACTGGTGGCCACGAGGCAGGCCAAGTGTCATACCCAAGTCCACTACGTGAACAAAACTCTCTTCCTCAAAGGCTTCCAATATTGATTCATTCGCTACAAAATGACCGAACTGGATTTGCGGACATAATTCGTAGACAAGGCTTAAGGCTTCATCTTTTTCTAGCGTAACAGTCCTTGCTTTTGCTACTGGTCCTACTACTCCAACCGCCCCTAGTGGTTGAACCAAAGCAAGACGGTCAGCAAGTCCCTGGGCAAAGCAAGAAGCAACGCGCTGGAATGATGTTCCAAAGACAAGGGCATTAGCCCTGAGCTCTGATAGTAATGCTGAAGCATGTATTTTGTCACGACAAGCCACTGCCTCAGCACAAGCAATGAGTTGTTGGACCAGTTTCATTCCTTCTTCACCTTCTTCTTCATTGGTTTCGTTTCCATCACCTCCCAACATGACAACAGCTGCTTCTTCCATAGCCTCAATTGCTAAATATCTCTGCGTGTAAGCCCGTAAATGATCCCGGAATTGGAGTCTTCGAAAGCTGGTCAAGCTATTACTAGTACTACAAATATGGTTACCATTGCTACCAACGGATTCATCCATAGGATGTTCCAGCTTTAACCTTTTATGGTTTCTTGTTTCATAAAAAGTAGGCCAATTCCGGTAAATTGGACAATTAAAGGGATAAATTTGCATGCCTGGTAAATTGAGATCAAGACCCGTCCCTTCATTGCTTTTGTCATCACCATAAAGTTGAGGTTGCCATTGGAGACCAGGCTCCATTAGCACTGATCCTCTGAAGAACTATCTGCTGTGCAAGGGATATTTATCGGTGCTGCCTCGTTGAGCGGATATTTCGAGGTCATGTATTTAATCCAAAGCCAATATAAGTACATAAGAAATTATTTTTAAAAGCTGTCTTGCTTTCGATTGGCATAGATCAATGTAAACATAGAGCAATTGGAATATTTTCCGTCATTTTCATGGAATCCCTAGTATTTCGGAGTTTACATGTGTGTCTCAGTTTTGTACAGCTTAGAAGTTGTTTCCCCTACGTGGCCTTCAGCTTATTGATATGTCTTATACTCTCAAAACATCCTTTGAACTTCATTTAAATGTCGTTTCCTTTCATCAGGTCTTTTGTCACTCAGCCCTCTTAAGGTGCTTAACATTGTTCAACCACATCTAGATCTAGGGCCCAGCAGAACCACAAGTCAAACCAAGAAACCAAGTGGTTAACGTTGAATTCATCTCATGTAAATTTTGTTTCTTTTTTTTTTCAGCATTTGTCACAAAAATCGTCAACCTCTAGATTGTCCTGTTTGTGTTGGAAGCAGGCAAAGATATGGATAGGGACGCGGTTACCGACTGATTTCTCTGCAATCTGTTGCTACTTGCTATACTAGTTTACTATTCAATAAAACACAAATTTCTGCCATCCTGCATTATGCTAACACAAAAAATAGTATTTTTATTTTTTCCTGAATGTTGGGCATCGATTGTAGATGCTTTTACGATGGAGTTCCAAGAAAACTGCAGAAGATATTTCTTTTAATGCATTAACAAATAACCAATCAAGCAAGATGGTGAAAATACAAGTCTGGCAGGGCATCGGCAAAATAGCCAATACATCCTTCGCACCGGCTGATTAATTTTTTAATTTTCATAATTACAAGACCAAGTAACAGTTTCTGGCAAGGAGAGAAAGAGTTGCTAGGAGCAATTTGTAAATGGTGATCGGCACAATTTTAAAACTTAAAACCACAAAGAAAGGGATAATAATAATGCATCTCATTCAGCTTATTCCTAAATATAAGACATCTCAAAATTGAGGAAAAGAATATGAACAAACGAATATTCCTAGTGAACTATAACAAGGAAGAAATTGCATCTGAAATCCCAAGGGATTAGACAAACAGTTCATTTTTACAAAAGGCAGCAGGCCTCTCACCCTGATAGGCATTCAAAATAAATGAGTCGGCGGAGGTAACCTGAAACTCTATTCCTCTTTATGCAAAATTGCTGACCATGTTGCTGTGATACTGATATACTTATCTATTCAATAAGAAAACTCATGGCCTCTGAGTGATATATATTTCTTGACCCATATAGCAATATCTTCTGCACAGGCTTGTGCTTGTGGTGTCTGAATAAGCACATCCAGAGTCGCAAACTCATGAACAGCATCCTTGTATTTGAGAAGGGGAGCATCTATGTTAACCTTTCGGAGTTCCTCAGAGTAAGCAATAGCTCGATCCCTCATCAAGTCTTGCTCTGCCACAACTGTCAGTGTTGGGGGCATGAACTTCAGAGGAGGCTCTCTCCCAGGGATTAAAGGGTTGGCAGCTGGATGATCCAGGTTGAAATTTTCCTCAGGCAGAAAAAGTTTCCAAGCCAGCGTGCACATAGACTTGTCATAGAAGTATGAGTTTGCCAGTTTAATTTCAGAATTTGTGGGATTGCTTCCAATGAAAAATGGATACATCAGGACTTGTGCCACCACCTTAACAGGATCCAAAAGCTTCCCAGCCTCAACAGCCTTTCGAGCCACATAGTCTGCTATGTTTGCACCACAGCTTACCCCAAGAAGTACGCACCTGCTCTGATGACAAGTCCAAGTCAGTCGATTACTACTTTATAAAACAGCCAACAAGAGAAAAGGTGGAAGAAAAATGAAAGTGAATGGGACTATGGGAGAGTTTAAAATAATCATGTTTTCAGGCAAGTTTGATTGAGTAGCCAGCATGATTCCTACTTTTACTGACAAATAAGGCACAGATGTACTTTCTCTCGAACTACATTTTAATAGTTTTTCAGAATATGGGAGTTTGGTCACTAAATGAGAGTGGATTTACTACAAATTATTTGTAAATAACATTTAGAGCCAGAGGAACGAAACGGGAACCTTTTTCAGAGTGTTTTGAGCTATATACTATTACTAGACATTACAGTCAAGAATTGGCATTTCCACAAAACTAGCAGATTCAACAATGAAATTTTTTTAATTCCAGGCCTTCATGCCAACCCAATCCCCAAGATTCAAAGTACTCAAATCTTCTAAATCTATGTGCTCATTCTTTGACAACTTTTGCCTGGCTTGTTATCCTCATTGATCCTTATTTAGTCACTTATTGTTACTCTTGATTGTAAATTTTCAAACAATACAGAATTCAAAGGAAGAAGAATGAACAAGAAAATAGTTCATTAGTCTAACAAATTCCAAATCACTAGAATGGATGAAATCGAATCAAATTGCTTAAAAAGTAAAGAACTAGATACATACCTAGAGGGATCTCCGTGAGCAGCCAACCAAGGCTCAGCCATAGACGCACCAAACCCATCAAAAACATGAGCATCCATTCTCTTTCTCCCATTCCCCATCCACCTCCCACACTCTGCCAAATTCGCCTGTTTCCCTAACCAATTCAACACCTTCAAACCATCCTCAAATGCCGCCGGATACCTACTCTCCGGTGCCAGCCTATAGCCAACTGCAATCACGATCACATCACAAAGCTTAGCAATCCTCTTGCAAAACACATCATTCCCTACACTATCATTGCTTCCACCGACAAAAGCCCCGCCATGAAACTGTAACATCACCGGTAGTTTCTTGTGTTTTTTTCCTGTCTGTGGAGAGTAACCTCTGTAAACAAAAGTACCATCTTTGCTTTTCTCTTCGTTTGTTGTCAGGTCAGAGTTAACAACCGTGTCCGGAAGGAATAAGCGGATGCAAAGAGATGAAAAAGGGTCGATGTGGATGTCCTTGGTGGCAACTCCATCATTGAAAGAAGGGTTGCTGGGGGCCGTTGGTTCTTCATGGCGTGAAGTTATGCCAAAAGGATCGACGTTGTGAAGAGAAGCTTGTGTTAGATTACGTAGCAGATATCTTTTCTGAAACTTGAAGAAGATGCTATAGAGTTTCACCGCTAAGCTTGGCATCTTTTATTGAAAACAACAGAAAGGGAAAAACAAGGTACGGTGAAGGATAGAGATAACGTGAACAAAGATGGAGTTCAAGAATCAAGACTTGTGGGATTGTGTTGACGCCATCGATGACGCCTGAGGAGAGACGGTTCAACTCGTTGAAGCCTTGAAGGCGTCTATTGGGGACTTTTTGGTGGCTCCCTGGCTAGTAGTCAGAGCAGAAGCTTCCGATTTTCGCTGCTGCTTCCTGAATTCTGTCCGTACAGAGTTTGAAACAGAGAATTTTTCTGATTATGTAATTAAATATTTCGAAAGAGTTTGAAAATTCTTTACCCATCGATGTTACAATAATACAATTTCTTTTATCTAGAAGATGGACTTGAGTTTACAATTTGTATAATAGAAACAATCAAGTGGGGGAAGCAAAAGGGCGTTCAAGATTGAAACTTGGTGGAAAAGCAGAGGATTATTGCTCTATCACCTCCAACTTGAATATTAGTTGGCATGTGGGACCTGATGACACCGACTCCTGCATCAATTTGATTGGCTTTTCTTATTCTGTATTTATATTATTTTTTAGGACTAAAATTGAAACTGAAAGACATGATTTTTGTTGGCGGCCACGTGTTTCCACGTAGGATGATAAGTAGAGTTGGTTTCGATTTGTGGTTGCGTTGTATTTTCTCGTTAACAACTTTGGGTGGCGCCTGCTACTGATACTTTGTCCAGATCTTCCACAGATTCTGAATCTGAGGACTTCTATGTAAATTCCCCCTATAAAATATTAATTTTCCATCTTGATTGTTTGGTTTATGAAAAATGTCAAAACAAAAACGAATTTTTGGTTTTAATTTTTTTTGTTTGATTGATATGAAAAATATCTAAAAATTTTAAAAAATTGCAATATAAATGTTCCCCAAGTTTCTTTGAAAAAATGAAGGGAAGGGAAAATATCATTTAATTTTATGGTTAGATCTCATCTTATTTTGGATATGCTGTTGCCTGCATATATATATATATATATAAATAATAATTAATTTTTTATGAATTCAAATTTTAATTTGATCTGTATAATTATTTTTAACAACTTTATTTGATAAATTAAAAATTTAAACTAAAATAAAGTTATTTTTTATATTAAAAGGGTACAACAGAATCACGTTTTCTCCCATGGTGTACCACAAAAGTAGATTTAAAGAAAGTCTTTGACTTTGTAAACTAGTATCATAATATATAAACCAACAGATTTATCATTAGTTATAAATTTTTTAAGAATCGTTATTAATTTTTTTTATTTAGATATGATTAATTATTTGATTAAATTTATTTTATTTAAAAAAGAGTCTAAAAATTAATTTAAATAATTTTAAATAGTAAATTTTGATCCATAAAATTATATTTTAAATTCAGAAGTATGATTATATGTGAAAAAAATTATAGCATTCTCTCGCAACTCTATCCAAATGATAATAATAATGTGATTTCAAATTATCAAAGCTTTAAATATGTTTATATTTTACCAAAGTATTTAATGTTGAGAATTAATTCTAAATTTGCTCCAATAGTTTAGTAACAATTTAAGATAATTCTTTCCTCTCAGAAGTATTCATGAAGATTAGTGTCTCACCTTGAAAAACCTTCATTGTCGAATTTATTAATGTAAAATTAATAAAATCCTCTAATAGTTTGATAGGATTTATTTTGAGACAGATCTTACAATAATTTGATAAGATTTTATTTGAAATATATTTATAAAATTTTATTTTCTTTGAGAAAATTCATTAAATTCTCTAATAGTTTGTAAGATTTAACTTAAGATGTAATCTTTCAATAATTTAATAGGATAAAAATTATTTTTTTATTTTTTTAAAATTTATTTATGAAATTTTTAATAGTTTGGTGAATTTCATTAAATTTAAATCCATGAAAAATTTCTAATAGTTTGGTAGGATTTATGAATTTATTTTAAAAGATTTTTTTATTTAGTTTTTATTTTTTTTCAGGAATAGAAAAAAGAATTTTTATAAAATATTTAATAAATAATAAATTGTTCAGTAAAAATAAATAAATAATAAAAGTTAATAAAATAAAATAAATATATAAATTGAAAAACTTAAAATATAAAATAAATAAAAATAAAATGAAAAAAAAAAACCTATTATCAGGTCGAGTTGAAGTGTGAGTCGACACACGAGGCAATGGATCATATGCAGATCTGAGCCCTTCAAAACGATGTTATTTTGGAACATTATAAAAGTCAAGTCCTCTACTTTTTCTTTAAAAGCCCCAGTCTCCTCTTTCTCTCTCTCTAGCTTTAAATGCTTTGTCTTCTCTCTAAAAAAACAGAAAATATTTAACTAAAAATTGAAAAACTCTTCGATTTCTACAAAATTTTGTTAGAATTTCACCAAAAAATTCAAAATCTGTCGAAAAGCTTATCAAAAAATTCAAACATTCAACTCTTAAAACCCATATTTTTTAGATATTTTCAAAAAATCTCATATTTTTCCAAAAATCTAAACTTTGATCCAGAAACTCAAAATCTCAATCCCAACACTCTAGAACAAAAATAAAAAATTAGAAATCCAATCTTTTCCCAATCATCAGAACCTCAAATATTAAACTTCCAAAACCAAAATCTCATAAATAGCCCACCCAAAATTTTTTTTTAGAATTTTAAATACAAAGCCTTTTCTCCCCAAAAATCAATCGTGTGTTGTTCCTTGACATGTCGTCCAATTTATAGGCTGACTTAATAGAAAAATTAAGAATCAGATAAAACTAATTCAGGCTTAAATCCTGAGATTGAGATTCTATCTATTGTGATATCAGGCTTAGGTCTATAGTGATCTGCCTTGATTGATTAAAAAAATCCTTTAATTTGGTTCTGAGTTAAGACCCTTTGACCAAATAGATTGAATTCCTTTAATTCGATCAATTCTAAACTTTTCTTTCCTTATTCAATTGCCAGTTAAGAAAAAAAGAAATATAATAATAATATAATAATAATAAAATAATATATAATACAAGATAATATAATATAATATAATATCATATCATATAATATAATCACATTATAATATGATATAATATACTATACTATAGTAATATAATACAAGTAACAATAATAAAATAATAACAAATAATAAAAAATACTAATAACAAAAAAATAATAATAGTAATAGTAAAAATTAATCTGATTAACTCTGGACATAGATGGGTATGTACAATTAGGAGTTTTTGCTTGTTATCCTTAAGTTAATGGGCTTTTCGAGAAGATTTGTATGCTAGATCAAAAGTTATCTCACTTCACCCATGTTTTCTTTGTCTATTAATAGAGGCTTGGTGAGATACTTTAAAGGTGCAAATAATGTAAGACAAAGGGATTCTATATCACCATACTTGTTTGTGATAGTAATGAATGTGCTATTAAGGTTCCTGGACATTGCAGACTCATATGATGTATTCTCCTATAATCCAAAGTGCAAGAAGTTACAATTGACACATTTGTGCTTTGCTGATGATTTACTAATATTCACAAAAGAGGAGTTAAAATTTGTTTTTAGCGTCCAAAATGTTTTACAGCTATTTACACATTTTCTAGACTTTAATTAAATTGTACAAAAAGTGAGATATTTTGCTCGAAGATTCAAAGAGCAAAGCTAGAGGAATTTTGCAAGCAACAGGTTTTAAGTTAGGTTCTCTCTCTGTCAAATATTTAAGAGTGCCACTCATTACACGTAAGCCCACCATGATAGATTGCATCTCGTTGATTAAAAAAATCACAACTAGAATACACAACTGGGTAATAAGGCATTTATCTTATGCTAGTATAATGCAGTTGATTTAGTTTGTTATATTTAACCTACACAATTATTGGTGCAAACATATTATATTGCCTGAGAAGCTCATCAAAAGGATTAATCGATTATGCTTTGCTTTTTTTTGAAAAGGTCAGAAAGGTACAGCTAAAAGAGCAAGGGTAAAGTGGCAGACAATGTGTAAACCTAAGTCTAAAAGGGGCTTAAGACTAAAAAAAGATGTAAAAAACTGGAACAAAGCTTGCATGCTTAGATTGCTATGGTCTATTTTCACATAAGTTGGCTTATTATGGATAGCATGGGTGCAGTGTTATGTTATTAAAGGAAAGAGCATATAGGAGATACAGATAGCACATAGTCAAAGCTGGTGTATAAGGAAGCTGCTGCAAATGAAAAGTATTGCCACTAGATTCTTGTTACAGATGAAGAATGGAGTGATATGAAAAACTAAAAGGTTAGGTTATTCAATTGCTAAGGTGTGGAATGGAATAAGACAAAAGCAGCCAAAAATAAACTGGCACAGACTTATTTGGTGTAAGCTAAATATTTCCAAGTTTGCTATAATAACTTGGATCGCCATTCTCAATCGACTCCCTACTAAGGACAAATTAATTACATGGGAGATTTCTGTAGATAAGATCTATGTACTATGTCAGTAGGAGAAAGAAAGCAGAGACTACATTTTCTTCAATTGCAACTACTCAAAAGAGGTATAGAAGCAAGTACTGTCGCTATGTAACCTAAGACGAGAAGTAGTTAGATGGGAAAATGAGTTCGAGTGGGCTGTGGCCAAGCTTAAAGGGAAGGCATTGGTTTCCATTATGCTTCGGTTGGCTTGAGGAGCATACATTTACAGGATATGGGCAGAGAGAAATAGATGAATATACAAGTCAAAAGTATTAGCAAGAGAGATGATTTTAAAACAAACCAAAGAAGCAATCAGGTTAAGAGTAATGAGGCTGAAGAGTATTGCTTTTGATAATGTAAATCAGGAATTAAGTGAGAGTTGAGAATTAAGTAAAGATATATGTTTGAAATGTAAATATTTAAACAATTGTATACGTTTTTTTGCAGCAGTTCACTGTTTCTTGGATAATGAATATAATACTTATAAAAAAAGTTATTTTTTATATTAACTAATTCAAATATCAATGTTGTTAGTATCTAAATTATATATACAATAATAATAACAATATAAATAATCATTCCCATTCGATAGTGGAGAAGTAACGATGTCAGGGGCCATGGCATGTTTTCATCGAGCAATGAAATACGTGAGAGTTGAGACCCAGCCTGGTCCTGACCCAACAGTACTACCAACATTTGTTTGAAGTGCATAGAAGGCAACTAAAATTAAGTTTTCTTGAATCATGAGATTGCAGGGCACAACTGACTTCGATTTCACGAGGAAATCTATACCTATGTTAAAGTTGTCCCTAATCCTCAATTTATTGCCAAGTCAACAATTACACTGTTTATTTGAATACCAAATCCCAAAATAATTGCAACATCATTTTAATTAATTGGCTACTTTATTGTCATATAAATTTTGTTAATTAACTACTTCATTATAATATCAAATTAAAATTCAATTAAATTAATAAATTCATCTCCTAAAAAAAAATAACAAAAATTTCGAAAGTCTAAGCCAGAATTGTCAAAATCG